ATTCACCTAAAAAGGAAGAAGAAGAAGAAGAAGAAGAAATCGGCCAAAAAGCTCCGTCAAATGCGTGAGAAAGAGAGGGAGCCGGAGGAGCACTCCGAATTCCAAACTCGGAACCCCAATTCTCCAGGGATCCGAAGAATTCGCGCCGAGGAGGAGGAGAGAAGGAGTGGCGACTTACCCAAATCCGCCCGAGATGTGTGAGTGAGAGATGCAATCGAACAGATCTGATCTCTCTCTCTCTCTCTATCTCTCTCTCCGACGCGCACCCAGCGTCTCTTCTGGGAAGACGAAAAAGAGGGTCACGGGGGCATGGGATTGGACCCGATCAAAGCTCACTCAGCTCACACTCGCTGGCTTGGGGTGTTAGGATATGTAATTGGGGTTGAGACAAATTATGTTAGGATATTTGTATTGGCATCCCTCTTTCAGTTTACTATTCACTGTCTCTTTTTTCTTATTAATATTTTTTAAAAAATAATATATATATATATAATTTTATTATTTATAATTTCAGTAATTTTTTTCTTTTTTTTCATCACAGTCGTATTCCTGATATCATTGTCAATCATCGTCCCTCACTTCGTGCTGATGTCGATGCTCCCTCGCACTCATCATTTCATCTAACATAATCCTTTGATGCGGAGGTTGAGGAAAAAAAAAAAAGGAGAAGAGGGGGAAGAACGAAAAAAAAATCGAGAAAAAAAAGAGATAATTTATACATATTAATTTTTTAAAAAATAAATAAAAATAGATTATAAATAATAATTTTTATATTTATACTATTATTTTTAAAACTTTTAATATTTTAAAAATTTTATGTACATCAATAAAAATATTTTTTATTTTAATTTTTCATCGTTCAACAATAGCCCTCGATTGATATCTCCTCTCCTCCTTTTATCCTAACTCTAGCCACTAAGGATGGTTTACTATATGATTTGTACTAATATATAAATCGATTGTCGGTACGTACGTGTCAAGACATATCGATGTACGATACAGTGAGACATACCAATATATTGGTATGTATCATTCGTACCAATCTCCTATCGAATCGATACGTATTGCTCATTCATGATGATTTGCTATGGGACGACAACTCTAAAAGAGACCTAAGGTTGGTTGATAGTCATGGTTTAGTCTCCTTCAATCCCATCATTAGCTGTGTTAGAGAAACATTTTTGTTCTCTTGGGAAGGCAGAAGAGGGAGAGAATAGGAGAGGAGGGGGATTGAGGTCGTAGACCATAAGAGAAAAAAAAAAAAAAAGACAAGATAGATAATAAGGGATTGTAAATAATAAAATTATATTTTATTAGTGATTTAGGGGTTATCAATAATAAAAAAATTATCAATAATAAACTGGGGATGCCGATAGCAAGCTTTATTAAGTTAGAAGCTAACTATTCATAGTATGTATTTTATTATTGACAACCTCCTTATTATTGATAACTTTTTTATGAGTAATAAAATATTATTTTTATTATTTATAATTATAATATTATTGTCACTTGTTGCTCACCGTCCTCATCTCTCGACACTATCTTACCCTACTCGTCACCTCCTTTATGTCATTTTGGAAAAAAAAAAAGAAGAGGAGAAAAAGAAGATAATAGTTTAAAAATATTTTTAAAAAAATAAGATTGTAAACAGTAAAAAAATTATAAAATAGTAATATCCTTATGTTATGGCTAATAATTTTTAAATACCATATTTACCCCTTTAAACATTAGTATTGTATTGATTTTTTACATTTATATCCCTGTTAAATAATATATGCACAATTCCATTGAAAACTTGACTAATAATTTGCACACAGAGGACTTCTTCTTAAAATTTGTAAAGAAATTTTTATTACATACATACATGAGATATATTAGTTGTCCAACAATACATTAATCAACTCGGATATTTCAAGACTTTTCTTTTTATTCTAATTGAATAAGTAAACTCATTTTATCTTCACCGTAGAAAATAAACTAAATTTTCACTGTGGTGTTAAAGAACTAATTCCAATTTGATGTGCCAAAAATGTAGCAATCGAACAAGATGTCCAATGGTTTTTTTACGAGGACTAAGCTTGTATTAGAATAATATGGTCTACTCTCCCTTTGTGGCTCAAAAAAAGAAGAAACTATTTCTTATTTTTGTATCTTAAGCCTCACAAGAAAGGAAACTACTTCCTATTCTTGTATCATTAGAGTGAGTGATGGTGGGTGTATTCCAACACCTAATACTATCTAGATATAAGCTAAATGTAACCTAAGACATTGTCAAACTTATGGGGGGAAATAAAATGTCTACATGCTTATTTTTAACTCACCTTTTTTTTTCTATGACCATTTCAATTAGTATACTCTTCATTTGAAAGAGTGAGTAAATGCATGTAGGATACATATGTTGATATTATCATATTAAAAATAGTGAATAATCTTTCTTCTAAGTGAGAAAATGTGTGTAGAAGGCAATTTTCTAGTCTCCTTTGGATCATCTAAAGGTGAATCCAAAAAGATATCTTCTCTTGTTGTTTTTAATATAATGTAAATTGATATGATACTCATAAATACATAAACATATTACGATCTGATGTAATCCCGATCGAGTTCTATATATATCTTGGACATACATTTCAATGAAAAGAGAAAGGAAATGGTTGTCCATGATGGTTTATTATTATTATATTCTGTTATTTTTTTAATATTTTTGAGTATTTTTCTCATGGGTAGTATGTATGGTGCAGAATTTACCCCATTTTTATTTGTTGATATTTTTTTATTTTATATTTTCATCATATAAAATTTAAAAAATATTTTTGGTTATATATTATTTCATGAAGGGAAAAGTAACCTAAAACAATCATATTCTGACAGGTTAATTTTGGGTTGACAATCTTATCTTACAAAACATTTAGCACTTTGGAACCTATTGGGTGGCACAGGAATATCTTCAGTGTGCCTTTTTTTATTCAACGAAAGTATTATGTGAATATTGGACGTGCATCTTGGAACCTCCATTTATGTGCAGTGTATTTTCGAGAGTCTTCCGTGATTATTTTATATTATTTATGATTTAAGTTATCTTATTTTTTTTCTAACAATGACATTTTGAATGTTCTTATTTCTAACATTTTTTTTACTATGCAAGTCAAAATCTAGGTTGATAGACAGATATTACTTAGGTGTCACACATCTTAAGCAATCCCAGTTATCCCACTTATACGAGATAAGAATCGAGAGTCAAATATAAATATAAATATTGATCATAATTTAATAATTTTTTTTTTATTTTACTAATATTCAACCTCATATATGTCGATCCCAACTAATTTGATTTTTTTTTGCTTTTATTAAATAGGAACTATCATAATTATTCTTCCGATACTAGAATCTCTCTCTTTCTTCACCCATCACAAGTTAGGGGCCACCATGAAACCCTCAAATTGTCTTCTAAATGCATCGCCCTTTCATGTTCTACCCAATAACACCACTTGTGGTGCACTTCAACATCTTGAAGTCATCCCATCTAAAGCGATTTGCTAATGCGAGCAAGCCACATAGATCATCACTAGGCAAAAAAGAAGTGTGGCCGCTACATGCTCTCTTGTTAGGTATATTCCTCGGTTAAGCTTTCTCTTTCTCTTTACTTCGATTATGATCTCAAGAATAGTTATGTCTCGGAAGAACAACAACTTGGTACTTCAAGCACTTGATCGACCATGTGAATTATCTTCATAATTTAAATATTATTCACGAAACAACTAAAATAATATAAATATTAATCGATTTGAGATTAAATCCTGTCTTCAATATTTATCCTTTAAAAAAATAAAATTTACATGTGAAATATCAATATCACCCCCAACCCAGTGAGGCTCCCATCACCATCAGTGACATGACCTCTTCTCTTATCATTTAGGTTTTTTGTGATGATATCTCTCTCTCTCTCTCTCTCTCTCTCTCTTATCATTTAGGTTTTTGCTTCTATCTCTCCCTCCGTTTCTTTTATTTCTCCATACTCCGTTCCTTTTATTTCTCCATGCGTCTCTGCTTCCACTTTGCAAAACCTAAATTTAGTCTTCTATGTTTTAATTCCATGCAAGCAATTTCATACGCTTTATGATTCTTATTTTTCTTATTATAATGATGTGCCTTCGTCATGGAGTAGTGGTGTCAACCTCAATAGACCAATTAAAAATGGGCAAAGGAAGAGGTTTGGAGAGGAAAGTAACACCGTGAGCTTACCATAACCATATGAAACCCTTTCTATCGGATCATTAGGGATTCTAGTATGGTTCAAGTCTATCGACTCGGGTATGATAATAATATACTATCGACTCGAGATGACTTTCATTGAAGGTCTCAGCTAGCTTAGTTAATAAAAATATTAATAGTTTATTGTAAGATCGTAGGTTTGAATCTCATCTTCGCCGATTACCTTTTACAAAAAAATAAATAAATATTTTACATCATACTACTTACCACAACATCTTGCTAATCGATATTTGTAACAAGCGAAAAGATTAATGCATGCACTAAAAGTAGCTAATTTGGTATAAAATTAAAAGAACGGGTTATTATAAGATAATCTTGCAATATAAAGAGAGATTTTATATCCATTGATTTGTGTAAATCTCGTGATACATAATATTGAATATTCTTTAATTATTTAGTCTAAATTTAATTAAGGAAATTAGTCTTGTCAGCACAAAAATATTTATACCCTCAAAACTAATCCAAATTAGTCAGAACAAACAAAAAAATCAATGTCTTATAATAAGCGTCAGAGTCATATCCATCCTCAAAGATTCGTCCAAACCAAATAATTGCTCGTCGAAGATCAATAATAATTATCATCGTCTTTTCAACATCCCTTCAACGTGCAAAACATATATTGTCTTCTCATTTCCTTGGAAGAAAAAGATACGATGGCTAAGAAGCCAACCACCATTGCCCTTGGAGCATTTCTACAACGTGTAAACGCATATGTTGTCCTCATTTCCATGGGAGAAAACAAGCCCGTCATTGTCGTATGATGTGATGCCACAGGAACGCTGTTTCATAGAAGCATACCACATCGCCATGAGAACTTCGTGGGAACGCCAAATCGCATCCGCGAAATGGGAAGAAGCCTTCCCGGATCAAGCTCTATAAAGTTTCATGAGCCCGGCATTTCGTCGAACAGGATGGCTCGACTGGCCCTCCCCATCAAGCTCTTCGCCCGATGGCTGCTGCCCTTCTCCGGCGGCACAGCTTCGATCGGCTCCTCGGACTGTGCGATTTGCCTTTGCAGGATGGAGCGTGGTGAGGAGACGCGAGAGCTCAGATGCCGACATCCGTTCCACAAGTCCTGCCTCGACAAGTGGCTGGAGCAACCGGGGAGGTGTTGTCCGGTTTGTCGGGAGGATGCTGGTGCAGGTGAGAAGGCGTCAGAGAGCAGGAAAAGAGCTGAGCTGCGGGATGGTGGCGTCATCGTCTTCTTTCCCTGGGAGGAGGAGGACTTCCGCAGTGATGCGTGGTGGATAAGGTAGGGTGTGGTCGGAGTACGTTTGGGTACGAGCAGTGTGTGTGTGTGTGTGTATCTTAGAATTATGGGTTGCTGAGCAGTTGTGGAACTTGACGTGACGGATTCAGATTCCTCAGAGTTATTTCAGGTGCTTAGCCTTGGAATCTGTAGCCTTCTTCATCATGTTAACGTGTGGGAATTATGAAGCTTACGAAGCTGTTATGACTTCTTCTTCATCTTCTTGCTTGTGATACTTACGAAGCTCATGGAGTTGTAATCAGTCATGAAGGCTTGAGCTCACGAGTATATGATGCCTTCTTCAGATTCTTCTTCATCAACTGCTACTTTAGATTCTTCTTCCTCTTCTACTCCTTGAGACTTTGTTTCTTCTTTTTCTTCTTCAGAATCATTGCCTTGGAATTGTTGTTTGTGTTGTTGGAATTATAATTTGAGCTCGTCAGATCTCATCTCCTTGATCTCATCTTCTCTATGTACTATTATCCTCTTGTCTTCTACCTCTTTTTTCTGTCTTTTTTCATCGACAATTATTTGAATGAAGACAAACAATTACTGTTGTTGCAATTATTGCTATTGTTATTGCCACGATTACAAGTTTCTTGGACAAAGTTTTAATACAGTTCTTCAATCATGAGAAAAGATTACACAACAATCAGCAGAGAGAAGATTACAGATCATATATATATATATACCATTCAATTTGTACAAAAATACGAACACCTGTAGACCACCCCTCGATTTCGATGACTTTGGACATCGTTTCTGCTTTAACCGAAGAAGGTAGACAGCTGCCGCAGTTACTCTCTAATCACCCATCCACAAACAAGAAATGAACAAGAATTGAATGTCACGCTCACGGTTACTTACAAACAAGAATTGAACACAAAATATCACAATACATATCTCTGATGAAATGGATATAAACAAAAAACAAAACACGTAAAAAAAAAAATCGCAATACACAACTCCCTAATCGTTCACCAGGCTTTGTGATTCTCTGATGGAACTCAGTCTCTTGTACATCTCTGCACACGAGCTGGCAAAATCTAACATGGCCCGGAAGAGCTCCGGTAGGTGTGTTTTGAGGCTGGTTAGTGACTTGTCCCTCACCATCTTGCATTGCTTCCTATATGATTCTTCCGACACCCTCAGCTTACTCTCTGCATTGTCCACAACTGCCTTCTTCTCCGACACTAGATCCTGTTGTGTTGCTCCTTCGACTGTCTCGGGATTAACCTCATCAGAGGATGTTGCCGTGATCCTCTCCGTGTACTTGTGATGCCACACGTCAAACTCATGTTTCTTCCGCTCACAATCCCTGTGGGCATCGTCCCACTTCAACTTCAAGTTTAGCTCTTCGACTTGACACAGCATGATGGCCTGCACTGCTCCTGAGAAGGTACTTAGGCTGCTCTTGGCCCGATCAACTGGAAGATTCTCTAACTGGTCATGCCATGCATGCAGCAGGATCTTGATCAGAGGATCGGCTTGCTCCGGTGGAGATGATGCGTCCTTCCTGCTGCTGCGCTCAATTGGAACAACGTTCAAATTCAACCACCTGTTTAGGGCTTTGATATAGTCTTTCTGATTACTCATGAGTTTGTCGAACTGTGAATCCCACTCTCCAACCATTTTCCAAAGCTGAACAGTTCGATTATGATGTTGTTTACTTGTCTCCCTGGGAGCAAGTGGAATGTCAAGACCTCTGATTTCCTTTATTATCTTAAGCTGGCTGCCATGATGGAAGCGCATGGTCTCCCACATCTTAGCCATCCTGACAAAGAGGCAACATTATATTGATTTGGCACATGAGAAACATTTGAAGTCAAGCTCAAGATACGACTAAAGAAACATGTCATGCTTTGTGTACATCAATCTAACATGACTACGAGGCAGCACTTTTCACAAAAAAGATGATATCTCGCTGTGTTTCTGTGAGAACATTGTGATGCAACTAAAGTAGTCTATGCAGCATTAAATGACCCAAAATCACCAGACCCAAAACCGTGTGTATTTTCTCTTTATTGAAACGACAAAGATGAACAAAATATCAAAAACAACAGATGATATGGTATAAAGTCCTTTTCTCATTTTTTTTAAACCAAAATATGCCAGCGGCAATGCCATGTCATGACCTAGTCAAACATATGAACCCAAAATGTTACTATTGTTGTAGCTAAAACCATGGTCAAAACATAACTCATGCTTAAGCCGGAAACTTTGCCAGGCTCCTAGTGTAGGCTTCTTCGTGAATTACCCATCTTTGAACATCTACATCATATGGCTCTGAACTTAGGATAACATAGCAGGGTCAGCCATTGGAAGTGTAAAGGAAACTTCGTATTTGTTCTATATGAAATTATTCATATTTTTCCTTTCTATGAAATAAAGCCATATCAAAAGAAGAAAATAAAGTGAAGATACTAGATAGCTCAATTACTTCCAATTATATGATGTGAATGAAAACAGGAATATGATTTTAACCTACATATATAGAAAAAAAAAAATTCTAGCAGCCCATATCTTTGTATATTACAAGTAACTTTAAAGCAGGAGAAGATACATAAGGAATAAAGCATGGAGATAGACAAACAAAGAGCCCATTGACCTCCAACAGTCAAGAGGGAAGGAAGCATAGACAACCAGCAAAATCATAACATTTTACTTGTGTTAGCTACCAAAGAGAGAAACTTGAGAATCTTATATGGCTAGTTCTAACGGTGAATTTGAATTAGTGTTTTCTGAGTTGTCAAGATCGGTTACCTCTATAGTAATCCAATTTAAACATATTTAACTAGAATACTACAACCTCAGAAATTTTATTGGTAACTGCAGAATGAAAGAAGTGGTATGAAGCAGGCGATTTTCTAAGATGCTATGGCTAATTTGACATGTATACACCAAAATGATTCAAAAGCTCTTAATCTGATGGAAAACAACACCAATGTGTTGCTTGTATGGAACACACTAAAAATTGAATTGCATAGTACTAAGAAATGGTAGGGATCTCATAAGTACCTTGCAAACAACATGTGATTATTACCTAATAATGGGAGAAATGCAAATAACATTCGACTTGCATGGTCCAATATGTAAGTCATGGAGAAGAACAATAAGAACACATGATAAACATGCTTAGGATCAATTATGAAGAAATATTCTTATTATGGGAGCAAGAGAAGTTTCTCTTATTATTTAAGCTTCCAGAAATTATACGTACTTTGATAGATTTCCTTCATGAATAATATTTTCATCAATATCTTTATCATATTGAAAAATTGATCCAAGAATCAAGATATCCAAAATTTCGACTTATTGATTTTTTTTCCAATCAAACTTAACTATATCTTATTACTAAGATTGCATCTCATATATCTAGTCTTAGCTCTACTTAATTTAACTATATCGTATTACTAAAATAATATTATCTCAAATAAAGAACCTCTATTTTGTATATAGTAAGTTCATCCATTATCAACATGATTCCCTATTGCAAGTTTATGTGTCTCTTTGGGCTTAGTGAGAGAATTGGTGAAACAAATATAAGCTCACCTTGCCGGATTAGTGACTGAGTCTATTTATATAGCAAGACACAAAGTAAACATATTGCAGAACAAATGGTTGAAGAATAAATATGTTGCAAAATGAACAAAGGACAAAAAATAAGTACATCAAAGGCATAAACATGAATGAAGCAGATTATGTCTACAGCTGATTTAGATACCAGGGCGGTGAACACTACAAAATGAGATATTCAATATTACTCTCATTAATGGGATTTTGAAATTTTATCTGGAATGATCCCAAAGAAAATGGGGACTGCTTCACGTATAATTGAGACTAGATCTAAATATGGTTGTCATACTAATGGGTGTCCAGCTTAACAAAACAAAACAGGGAAGAAGGATCACAAATAAGCATGTGATGAGTAAGGGATAAAAATTGTTCAACATGCTTAGGATAATAAGATCATAATAATTACTGGAAAAATCCTATACATCAAGCAGATTACAGAACAACACACAATCAAGCAGACCACAAAACATTACATGATGAGCATGTCCCATGGGAGAGCAACTTACCCATTAACAAGTTCTTTTAGCCTTGGATATAGTTGATCATCACGAAGACGGTTAATTTCTGAAACTGTTGAATCCATTGACTGCATATCAACTATGTATCTCGTATGCAGATGGCTTACAACTGATTTGATTTTTTCCAATGCCATCGAATTTGCCCCATGTTTCTTTTGCTTATTCAGCAAAGCTAGCTTTTTTTGATAATCAATTTTCATAAGTTCACCAGCCTGTATCAAGAGTTCAATCGATTATGAGATTCAACAATAAACAAAACTAAAAAAGGACTTACAGCAAATTATATTACTTTCTATAAATGTTCTTTGGAAATTGTTTCTTTATAAAAACTTCAGTAACATAGGAACAGGTCAGAAGAAAAATGGTGTACAAAAGGTTCAGAGGACCAACGGGCCTCCATTTTTTTATTTCAGTTTTGAGCTCCGAGGAGCTTGGTGTCAGTTGTACTTGCATTTTGAGCTAATATAGAAGTTTTCTTTTTCAAAAAAAGGAAAATGGTGTTAATGAATCCTGAAGCACACTCTCAAAACTAAAAATAAATTGGTAACTTATCTATCTTGATGATGCAAACAAGCATATGTCATTAACAAGCTGAAACATAAGAATCATCAGAATAGAATGTTACAACTTACAAGCCAAAACAAAATCTTATTTGGGATTTTATAAAAGTATTACAATGATATTTCCATCAATCACGAGTTTATAAACATAAATAGAAATTTTAAAGTAGAGTCAATAAGTGGCAATCCATATTATGAGTGTTAAAATGCAACCAAAGACTAGCATTCTTTGTCACTTGGAAAAATCAAACATGAAGGAAATAGCATATCTAAAATGCTGGTATACCTAGAAAAACTATAATAAGATCATCAGAAATGTCACTTGAAAGATAAGGTAAAGCAATCATTGCAAGTTGGAGGCAGTAATAGGCTAAGTGAAGTTTCTTACGGTGGTTCTTTTATGTCAATAAGATGATTTTTTTTCATTTTTGATAGATGTCACAATTGTTTTGTTTTGTTTCTCTTTCTTCTACTCACTCCCTTTCTATTAGTCTCTCTTTCCCCTCCTCTGCCTCCTCCACCCCACTGCCTAGCCATCACCTTCTCCCCACTCCACTGGTGCTACTATCTTCTCCTACCAATATGCCTCCACCTCCACCTCATCTTCCGCCTTAACATCCTCTTCTTCCTCCTTCCCTCATTTCTCTTTCTCTCTTCCTCTCTAGCATGGGTAATCTGGCCACCTACCAGTACACTTGACTTAGATTTTAATCCATGGTGTGGAAGCTCAACTTTTAACTTCTGTGTTGTCACAGAATAGTCTCTGTCAGGTTCTGGATGACGTTTTCTGACAGAGGAAAAC